TATAATTAATTTGATCAATTGCATGAAAAACAGATGTCTGTTAGTTATTGAATGAAAAGAAGAACGAATGAAATATTATACCGTAATATTATAAGACTCTGAACTCATATGTATTAAATAAAGAAACATTTTTTTCTGAAAACTTTTGAACACGGCAGGAATATAGGCAAAATGTTTGTTCCAAGTCTTTTTGCAGACTATCGTACTTCAACAAACTGTTCGATGAGAGAAGTACGGAACGAAGTTATTCGTTGCTCAATTTCCTTACGACATCTATCCCAGGTGTCACCTTATTGCGATGATATTGGCTGTGTGGAAATCCATGCTAAAAGTAAGATATAAGAGAGTACTTTTGCTTTTTATGAGAACAAAACAAAATGATAACGTCAATCAAGATGGCCCATTCTCAGTTCTGAATTACAAAAAAGGAAATGAATGTATAATAATATTGTCAATAGCAGCCTCTTGGTTGAAAGATCTGATGCTTATTGGGACATGCGCGTTGAGTAAATTCATCAGCACAAGCCATTCGAAGACGTTCAACAGTAGCTGGTGAATGGAGTGTAAAATAGTCTGAGAAACCTTGTTGTTCTCGATATGCCATACATGCTTGTTTCAGTGCAAAGAAAGCTGAAGCAGCCAGAAGGAGAGGTGGTTCACCGATACCCTTCGATGAATAGATGGCTCGAGGATTCAATGAATCGGACAAAAGTGAAATACGCATATCAAGAGGAACATCACTGAATGATGGAATTTTGTAAGTATCTGGTCCTTGAGTCAACAGTTGACCTGCTTTAATCCATTTGAACTGTTTATTATCACCCCAAATCAGTTCTTCCATAGTGTACAATCCAACACCTTGCATAAATCCACCTTCAATTTGACCAATATCAATTTGAGGATTGAGTGATCTGCCAACATCCTATAATAAAAAATGATATTGTCCAGATTCATCATCAAGCAAAAAAGAGATTTTTCTGGATCAATTCAAGTAAAATTTATGAAGGACTCAAAGACATATCTGTTGTATTCGAGAACGAAAAGTCGTCTATCATGATGTGTATATACAGCTAGATGATAGTTTATTCCTATTTACATGAATATGACATACCATGAGAATATCAACGCGTAAAAGATGCCAATCACCTGTCAATGCATCTAATTCGACTTCAGTTACTGCTGCACCTTGAGTAAAATAGTTGGCTTTAGCTCTATTTTGAGTAAAATCAAGGTCGATCATGTCTGGTGTTGCATAAAATCCATGTGCACACAGATCAATCCGAGCAAAATAGGCTTGTCGAACAAGATTTTCCCACGAAATAATGACGCTCTTGTCAACAGAGATTGTATCTAATCGTTGGCGAAGTTGTTCGCATGCATGTCGAACAGCCATTCCATTGATATCCGATGAGACCGATCCTGATGTTGGACTTGTATTGTGTACTTTATCTGTAGATGTTTCGCTGATTCGCACTCGATCAACATTGCATCCTAACACTTCAGCAGCTATTGATATCATCTTTGTATCTATACCTTGACCCATTTCGACACCTTCAAATAAATGAAAATGAAATAATTTTTATTGATAGTACTACTGAAATACCTCCATGAGTTAGTAAGACTGAACCATCTTTGTAGATATGCACAAGAGCACCTGCCTGATTTAAATATTTCATTGGGAAACCAATGCCAAACTTGTTTGGCACAATAGTCAAGCCACGTTTTCGATAGGTATTTGTCCTATTAAATTCCTCTATATTCTTTTGTCGTTGCAGAAAATCACTTGATTGGATAAGTTGGTTCAAGATTCGAGGAATATTCCAGTGTTCCAGTGGTTGACCATAATGAGTCAAGTCACCGTCTTTATAAAGATTGAGATTACGAATAGTAAATGGATCGAGTCTGAGATATGTCGCAACATGTTCAACAATAGTTTCAGATATTAATATTGCTGGGGGACCACCAAAACCACGAAATGCTACAATTAGAAAATGTTAGCTATGTCTCATATTTTCCATTTTTGTTTGTGAATAAACCTGTATTTGATGGTAAATGTGTTTTGCAAACACGGGCACGTATTCGAATGTTATGAAATCGATAGCAATTACACATATGAAGCATAGCCTTTTGCATAATATTGAGTGATAGATCCAAAGAGCAACCAGCATTACTCCACATTTGAACATCAAGTGCAGTAAAATATCCTTTACCTGTAAACCCTACCTTATAGTTAGCCTTGAATGGGTTTCGATGTCCAGTTATACATATATCAGTTTGACGTTCGATATTAAGTCGAATGGCACGGCCAATTTTCACAGCTGCTATCGAAATGGCAATACACGGAAGTATTCTGCAACATAACATTGGACATCGTCACTAACGTAGTTTGTCACACACTTACCCTCTCGATTCTTTACCGCCAAATCCACCACCGATCCGTTTAACATGACATGATATATGGCTAGAATCTCGACCGAGTGCCAATGCAATCAATTGTTGAGCTTTGCTAGGATCTTGTGTTGACAAGTATACAATCACTTCATTATCATCATGGGACGGTATGACCATACAAGAATTTGTCTCTAAATAAAAATGTTCTTGACCACCAATCATCAGTGTTCCTTCTAATATATGTTCAGCTTCGATGAGATTTTTGTCTACATCACCTTCTCGAAGACATTGTTCCTCATCGAAATAGGAATCATGAGCGATGGCATCTTCAATAGTGAAAATAGTCGGAGTTAACAATTCGTATTCGATTCGAACAAGACTTGCAGCCATCTGAGCTGACTGTTCTGTTTCACAAACAACAACACCAATAATAACACCGATACATGGAGCAATGGATGATACTAATATTTCTTCATCATATACTTCACAGCCCACGTAATTCGAACCTGGAACATCGTTATGACTAATAAACGAAACAAAACCAGGTACTTGTGAAGCAGCTCTAATATCTGTTATTGAATCATCTATTAGATCTATCAAAAAGAAAGCAATTCTTACCAATGTCTTTTATCAGAACATTAGCTTCTGAGCTTAGAACGAGTGCACCATGAAGTGTATTGATCAATGATGGTATGTCATCTGTATATGTGGCCTGTCCTGTCGTCTGCAAATATGCCGATCGATGCGACAATGAACTACCGACGACTTTTTGTGAAGGAGGTCGTTCAGGTATTGCTTGTTGACCATGAGATACTGGGCGTTGGTAAGGATGACCAGCCGAAAGATGTGTTGAATCAACAGACGATTGACGTAATTCAGTACAAACATTGACGTAAAACTTGTAGAGAAACGATTGAACTAATGTTCGTCTAAACAAATCAAACAATCAGTAACCTTTTTCTGACAATGACGCATTGTCAGATAGTGTTGTTGTCTGATAACAATACATGTGCACATTCTCTATCTATGCTTTCTTTCGTTCGAATAACAACCATGATGATTCACATATTGTTTTTCTAATATACTCAGGCACATTCATTTTTGTCTCTGATTCGTTTCGAATGTGTATTGATCATATATCTCTGTTATCTTTGACAATCTCCGACTAGAATTGTAAGCGAGAATAATTAGCAACTAATCTGAACTTTTACACACATTACTTCAAAAATTAATCAAAAAAACTTTTTCTTCTATGTATAATCTGCTTATAATTGACGCTGAAATAAGTAGTGAAAAGTGTTCAATTAGAGAAAAGAACACTTCTATAAATACTATTGCAGTCAAGGGTTTTATATGATGAACAAAATGAGTAATAATTCATCTCACTCTAATCTGATCTTATCATTCGGCTTGGTACCATTATACTTTTAAATCATAATATCGATAAATTCAACAATCAATTGAAAAAGTGTTGAAGAATGAAGGAAAGACTCTGACTTATTTTCTTTCTTCGTACCAGGCATTGAATGAGAATATCTTAAAATAATAAATCATGTCGAAAAGTTTTCTTTTTTTACCTGTATTCAGGTTGTCCACCTGGACTCTGTTCATAAAGTGGCATTTCATTTAGAGCCATTTCACAAGCTTTGACTATCGTTGTTCTTGTCCACGGTAGTCCAACTAACGCTTGTTGAGTATTTGTTGTCATGATTGTTGATGATGCCATTCCACCGAAAGAAAAACAAGCTGAAACAATGTGCCATTGACCATTGTTCGCATCAGATTGTTCAAGTTGAACACGAAATCCAGCACTAACAATACCCTTTGAATCATCTCGACGACGAGCCTGCTTGAACGCTCGCAGAAAACATTTGCTTGACGGATCTGGAAGAGGAATATGAACAGCGACAAGCACTTCATCATCAGCCATCGATACACGATGATGGCCAAGAAAAAAGTCACACAAAGAAATAAACCGTGGTGTAGTACTCTCAGCTCGATGAAGTTCAAGTATTGCACCTGCAGCCTGTAACACTGGATTGAAATCCGAACTAGAAAGTAATACACATAACTTGAACATTCTCGACAACGTAACTCACATAGGCGACGCAGCAACAATATTACCACCGATTGAAGCAACATTTCGTATTTGTGTTGATGCCAAATGATTGAGTTGATCGAGTAGAGCTTGACAAGTACCACCATCATTATTCTTTTCTTTATTCCATTCGATAAGCTTGGCTCGTAAATGTGTAAATGTCACACCAGCACCGATAATTAATGAATCGGCAGTTCGATTAAGTTCTTGCAATTCCTTAATGTGTGTCACAGCAATGAGCCGAGGATATTTTAATTGTTTGAATTTCCTCTCAATTTGTACTCTACTATTGCCAAAGACAAGTCTCGATGCATCGCCTGGATAGGTATAACGAAGATTAAGTAGTTCAATCAACGATACAGGGCGATACCAGTCAAGTGAGGAGCCTATACATCTAGAAAATGCAAATAATCTGTAAGTTGAATAAGATTTTCAACCTTTGATGTAAATGGAATTGGAAATATAATCTAGCAGTTTTTGTGGAAATTCCACTTGATCAATTGGTGATGAATTTTGCTTGGCAAAGAGCAAGCACTTGTCCAATGTAGTTGAAGTTAGTGTTGATAGTTTCTTTGAAGGTAGCTTATCTATATCACTGGCGAAAGTTTTAGCAGCATCAAGAATCGGTCGATATCCGGTGCATCGACAAAGATTGCCATCTAAAGCTTCCTCAATATCTTGCAGTGTTGCTGGCGAATCATTTTTCGATGTGATAGTTCCATAGAGAGACATGATCATGCCTGGTGTACAAAAACCACATTGTGAACCAAACAATTCAGCCAGACGAGATTGAATTGGATGAAGATTCGACTTGCTCACTGAGCCCAACCCTTCGACAGTGACGACATGACATCCATCGACAGAACAGAGCAGTGTCAAACAGCTGTTCACCGTACGATGTTCGATTTCACCAGAATTTCGATCAATACATCGAGAAATGAGGACAGTACATGCTCCACAGCCACCTTCGCCACAACCCAATTTTGACCCCGTAAGATTCAATTCTACATATAAACAAAAGATGAATACAACTTTGAAAATATCGAATATTTGTATTAGTTACTATTTCTCAGATACCAAAGAAGAGTCCAATCAGGCTCTGCGTGATGTTCAATGATTTCTTTTCCGTTGATGTAAAATGAGATATAGTTAATCATGATAAATGACTACTGCAGTTTTGTTTCTTTGATCACAGTATTATATTGGGTTATCAACAAAGTTCTTGCGTTTTTTTTCTAAAATTTTCTAGAATATTCGAGAAAGTTCTAGAAGTTTCCATACTAAGGGTATATATGGAGCGTGAATATCATTCGAATGATAATAAAACCATCGATATGGACGTTGATCATGAATTGAAAATGAATCTTTCTCATAGAGAGATTCGAGTACTTTTACTTCATGAATTTCGTCTGGGTTACAAAGCAATGAAAGCAGCCAACAACATATGCAGCACGATGGGCGAGAACGTACTCTCTACCTGTACGGCACAACATTGGTTCAATCGTTTTAAGAACGGTAATTTTGAACTCGACGATTTACCTCGCTCCGGTAGACCAATGGAACTGGATGTGGATCTCTTAAAGTAGCTTATCGAAGAAGATCCTCGATGGACTTTACGGTTTTTAGCAGAGCAGCTTGGATGCTCTCATACTGGGGTGGAAAAACATCTGAACGAATTAGGCAAGACATGGAAATATGGAGTTTGGATACTCTACGAATTATCACCACATCAGCTTCAACATAGGGTTGATGCTTGTATGGACTTAATGACATCTCACCGCAATTACCAATGGCTCCGCAATCTTACCACTGGCGATGAGATGTAGGTGTTGTACATTAACTACACGCACAGACGTCAGTGGTTGAACGCTGATCAGACAGGCGTAGCAACACTTAAGACTGATCCACATCCCAAGAAAGTGATGCTGAGCGTTTGGTGGGGTATCAATGGGATTATTCACTGGGAAATTCTTCCAAATGGTTGCACCATCACTGCTGATCTCTACTGTCAACGATTGGACTGGGTTGCAGAAAAACTCAAGGGAAAGCAGGATCGAATTTATTATTTGCATGATAATGCAAGACCCTATATTGCAAAGTCGACTCGCGAAAAATTATTGAAGCTGGTATGGATCACCGTTCCTCATCGACCTTATTCTCCTGACTTGGCTCCAACGGACTACCATTTGTTTCGTTCTCTTTCGAACCATTTACGTGAGAAAAAGTTCGATGGCAAGAACGACGTCAAAATGGAACTCGTCAACTTCTTCGATCAACAGTCTCAGGACTTCTACGAACGCGGGATCCTATCCCTGTTAGAACGTTGGTGACAAGTGATAGATAGTAGTGGTGCATATATAATTGAAAGCTACTTGTACCGTTGGAGTTGAAGCATAAAAATAAAATTTTTGAAAAAAACGCAAAAATTTTGTTGACAACCCAATATATATATACTATGTGTACGTCGAGTGCATTTGTTTAACTGATAAAGATAAAACATGTAAAAAAAAGGAGAGAGCATTTCTCAACAGTTCTTATGAGAAATCGCGATGATAAACATGGTTGGAGGACAAATGCTTCTATCATCTACAATAGTGAGCCTCAATATAATTTTAGAAAAGAATCTCCTATTTGTGTTTCCTTTCAGACTTATTTACTAATACCAAATTGAGACACCTACATATTACTTTAAAGAAAAAGATATTTTTTACGAAACGTGTACTTAGAGGGAAAACTTTTTTGGGTTCCGTAAAATACAAAAATGAAGGCGCATGGATCACTTCATTATATTTAAATAAATAGTGACGCATTGAAGAAACAATGTTAGGGCTACTCTTGATATTGATGTTGACTACATGACTCCATTCCCCAATCCTATCCCTATCACATAGAAAACAATATTACGCATGAGAGTACGAAGGAGAGGCCAAGATAAGCATATTGAAAGAATAAAAGGAAAGAAGAATAGAAGTAGAGTGCGAGTCGAGTATGTTCTTTATCTTGCCATAAGTTAGAGAAAAGAAAAGATTCTTTTCAACTCATCTTTGAAGAACAAAGTGGATGATGTGAGGACACGCTTATCTCCATGCCAGTGTCTTATGTATTAACACTGCGACTATTTTTACCTTTCAGTTACTAGTTGGAATAGTTGTCTATTGAACAACCTTTGATATATTAGTTTTAGCTGAATAGCCCACAATGTTCGATTGACATCTAAACTGATCGATATCGACAAAAGTCGATAGACTGTAGACGATATTTGATGCTAATTGAGAGCAGATACAAAGCTTAAGAGCTATATGCTCGAATAAATTTGAAATTTTATCCTGTGGTGAGTATTACAAGTTGGATGTGGATAAGGGTGTGGGTGTGTCTGAGTAGCGATGTGGAAGTGAGTGTGACTCTGGTTGTAGCTGTAGGTGTGCAGTGCGGGTGTGGAGATTCGTGTATGTGTTGGTTAGGGTGTTGGTGCGTGGATATGAGCGGATGTGGATGCCGATGGTGTTGGTCTGGTTGAGTGGTATGTTAAGGATATACATATCCGTAAGCGCAGGATTTCACACTGTTACTAGTACACCTACCACACATCCGCTTCTATTAATACCCACACCCACACCAACACTCACACTCTTCTTTATACCTTTGATATAACAAATTTATGTACAATGATATCCCAACAAGAATCAATGTAGGTGTTGGGTTTATGTGTGAACGCGGGTGTGTTAGTGTTTGAATAAAAAATGCTCGCGCCCATACCCCGTTTACAGTCACCATATTGTTATGTTCACCGTTAACGGCACTTTTTGCTGCGGCCGTTGTTTACGATGATCATAATACACCATAAAGCATCGTTAACAATTGCTGTAAACGATCATGTACGCGAAACACGATTGACCTGGGATATATTTCAAAAAAGAAGTTTAACGTATGACATTAGTAATGGTTATCAATCGAAAAATGAATCAGACACAGAGAGTTAAACAAAGATAGTCAAATGTGATTAATATAAAATAAAATAGATTGTGAAAAGGAGATCGATTGAAAAAATGAATAAATGAATGCATTCAATCACAGTTCTTAATTTGTTATTCTTATCCACTCTTTCTTACTTGCGAAGCATGATCTCTAGCAGCGAAACTTAGCAGATAAACACTGTCGGGTATCGTATTTGAATAGACTTCCATATCGTATTTGTTAACCCAAAAGAATGATTGTACTCTAATTCGAAATTTGGCCAAGAGAATTCGATCGTGTTGTTCGTCGAAAATATTTGTAGTTAGTGATATGGGATCAGTTTTCATCGACAACGAATGATCATTCCATTTTATTGTTCAATTATCTCTAAATAATTGAAAATTTTGAGTAATGACACCTTTTAACCACTGTTGAGTGTGGTTATCAAATATTTTGATATTTCCTTCGTATAATAATAATTTAAAGTTAGCTTGTAGTTTACCAATAACCTTCTGTGTTGGATAAGTGGCTGATTCCATTGATTGCAGAATATGATACTGCGATTCGATTCTATATTGAAGATTTTTGCCAGTTTGATCGTATACAGAATATTCCCTTGCCTTGAATCCACGAAAAAAGTCAGTCACAATGAAATATTGACGTTTAGAAGTTTGAGAAACGGCAACATGTAAAAGACACAAGAGTAAAATTCGAAACATCTTCATTTGATAGATAGCGGCAACAACAGTAGAAAGACAGTGTAATAAATCGTTTTATTTATTAGCAAATATTTGCCTAGAAAAATGATTTTATATATTTTTCGAGTTGTTTTCTCTCGTATTCATTAGTAATCACATCAACGTATATTATTATAGGATAAATATTCATCATGTTTACAAAGGGTAAACTAATCATCCATAAGTGTTTGCTTACGAACAAATGTCAAAACCAGTTCGATCTCGTTAAATCCAACGATAACAACTTTTCTCTTGATGATTGTGTAAGAGAAAGACATTGCACATCTATACCTTCGACAAGACTTATCTTTTCAACCAATAACCAATATGACGAGTTGAACAAGAAATGATGAAGACAGTGATAATTAAGCATGCCTCGTCCAACAACTAATGAACGAGACGAATCATTATCGAAATAATGACCAAATGTCGTCACTCGTGTTTTATGTTGACAAAAACAACACTTCCACGATATTACAAATTGGCAAATTAAATCAGTATGAAAGTATGCGTATATGATGAGTAAGATATTTTTCATCTATCAATTTGATAATCAATTATATTCTACGAATACAAAGCTCCACAATTCATCTAATCGAACATTCCATAGAATTCGTACTATTACTTAATTTGTCTTTTGCTTTGTTATATGGTGTTCGAAAAGTTACAACATGAGATGGAACAAACTGCGACGTTCTAAATACTATCGGATAGTCTATCATCCTCCACATCGTCGAATAATACGAAGCTGATGCCTTGAAAATTACAAATGACATTTCTCAATCATTTTGTAATTCAATTTTATTTCCTATTCTTAAACATTGTCCAACTTCAGTCTGAAGAAGACCGACAGGCTTAGATCATATACCTGTCAGAGAATGCAATTCGCTTGAGGAACTGCCTAAGCTATGCGACGAGCTGATGTGATTTGGTGATAAGTAATAGCTCTGATGATATTGTCCATCTGAAAATGATCTAGATCAAGCTGGAAACTATTCAAATTTATTATACAAGATGCATATTTTTGACTGTCAGTTGGTTAACTGATCATTATTATATTCTCGCTCTCAGTGATCCTAGTCAAGATCAGTCTCTAAAACATGATTCTTCTTTGAATTTAGCTTTTTCCTAACCAGTTCCATATATTTAAATTATCGCGTTGTTTATAACAGGACTACCAGAGGAATGACAGAAGAGTGTGTATGTGGGTGTGGGTTAGGCTATGAGTTTCAGGATCGCCTATTAATCCTATCATCATCCACACCCCCATTCTTTATTGACCATATTGTACAAGTATCAGGTTTTTGTTGTGGTCGTTACTGCGCATTTTACCACAAATTATGTTATGTTATAGAAAGCAACAATGTTGTGAAATCGCTCCCGATGATAATAATAATTATTATAAGAATCACGAATCATCATGATTTTATCTATCCAATGATAAATATACATTTTTTGCTAAACGTTTTAATTCAATGAAAAGTGAATCAATATTTGTGGGTGTGGATTTGGATGTGCGTTGGGTGTGGGTTGTCTCTTCAGCCATATCCACAACTACGCCCACACCCACATACACACGCACACTCACACGCCAACTAAACCTGGGCAATTAAACTACTTCACGGAATTTTCGTACTCACCAAGCTTTATCGAATTACATAGTTCTAGTTCAAGCTCGATGCTTCAAATTAAAAAAGCTGCGAGCAAGAAAAGAGAAGGAGAACCGACTTTTTAAAATGCGTTCGAACTATTAAACCATCAGATCTATGTAGAAAACATCTTCAATCTATGTCGATAAAAGTTCATTTTTGCATTGTTGCAATTAAAGATTACATTTTATATGTATTATGTTATTTTATTTGAGTACTGTAACAGGAGACATCTTTTAATCTCAATAATTCAATGAGAAGAATTTGCCGAAATAGACTTAAAAATGTCGTATGTATTCGATGATTTAACTGTTGTGGGTCATTTTCTGATGTACCAAAGTCTAAAATAGATATAACTTTGTAAACATAAAACTAACTGCAATTGATCATGTTTGAAATTTGGCAAATCTTGACTACTGTTGTGCTACCTAATAATACATTTATCTTGGAAAAATTATGAGACCAGGTTGACTGCCGCTGCTACGATTAGATTATGAGAAGTCTCGCAACGATATTACTTTCCTGATTTTCTTATAATTCATTCTCTTAGAACTATAGTTAAATGATTAGGACGAGCTCTTATGTGATACTGGGTTTATTTTTCGAATATTGAGATAAAAAAATATTCGTAGAATATCATAAAGAAAAATAGAAAGCTAATCTTACAATAATATTTATTTCAGTCACTCGGTTTTTTCCTTTTTTCTCATAATCAATTAAGATGTTCGCAGTTTTCAAATAATTGAGTTTTACAACAGCTAGCTTAGCATTAACAGTTAGAGTTGTGCATACCGTATAAAAATACGATGGAATGATGCGGAGGATGGCGATGATAGTAATATTGGTATGGAAGTGACCATTGTCGTAAAGTTGTTTTTTGACGAGTGATGCGGCTGCATTTAACAGTAGGATGTGGGAGTGAGTGTGCGTCTGGGTCGGGATGTGGGATGGAGTGTGGCTATGGGTATCGGTGTGGTTGCGATTATGAAGCAAAAGCTTCTCCATACCTACACCCGCATCCCACCCTTCTGGAGAACATTGCCTAAGGCTTTGAGAGCTCCGAAAATGAAATAAAATAAAAATAAAAAATCCTTTCCTTCATCCAAAGTGGTAAGAAGTTCTCTTTGAAATAAGAGTAGCTCTAATTTATTAATAGTGTACTTCCATTAGTCAAACAACTTCAGAAAGTTCCATGAAAAACCAATGCACTGTATCGAAAATCAAATTTGGAGTGAAAGCGCGAAGTCTTAAATGAGATATACATGATGTTGATGCCAAGTAAACACTTTGCGTGTCATCATCCTCTTTATTATGAAGAGTTATTATTAGTCGATTCACACATACTAACACTTTGTGTAATAGGTGTTTCCATTGTTGTTGAATATTTCAGATATCAATGAAAATGAAAAATTAATTTACTTGTATTTGTTTGTTAGTCGTCTAAAATGACAATAAAATATATAATAAATGTGAAAAAATGAGAGAAAAAACAAATCGATACGTTACGATTTTGATCAATTGAAAAAAGTCGTTCGAATGTTTTATTCGAGTTTAATTATTTTGGTGTTGTTAGTGTGAAAAATACAGATAAATCTTATTCATCATGTATTGATGCTAACAATGAATATGATGGTGATTGTTGATTAAACTGAATAGAATATTATCTATGATTTTATTACGATAAATTACGCATGACATTTGTTATTCGTAGTGAATCGTTTTTTCGTTGTTCAGTTCTATACATGAGAATATATATTTAGAAAAATGAACATATTCATTAACTTTTGAAGTCGTTGAGCGTCAAATAATCGTTGTAAAATTGAATTTTAATGATCAATACTTATAAATAGTACGTAACTGACAAAAATGAAAAGTAACAATAATGTATGTTTGATTTTATGTATTACAATGAATATAGAAAAACCAGTATGGGGAATAGTAAGATCTCTTAGACTGGATACTATCAATGAGCCAATCGAATATTGAAGAATGATTAAAATGAGTTTTACTATTAAAGGATCTTTTTTTTTATTCAAACAGCTTTAGATTCAATAGAGTAATATCACTAAAAACCGATACTTCTTTCAGAATAATATAATTAGCATCAATTAATGAGAATATTCGAATAGTTTTAGAACATAAACATGCTACTGACGTAGTACTTACATATTCGAAACAAATATTTGCAATCATGGTTGTACGCCAGTACTTGAGCGATGTAAAATGAATTTCGTCGTAATAAACTGTATTCATAGAAATTCAATCTTTCATATTGATGAACAAGAGTGAAATATCAGTCTTTATTCAAAGCAGAGAATCCGTCGTAAGAATTTATCTTTAAGTCGTTGAGAACTCTACTAGAAAAACGAAAGATAACGTTCTTCTGGTTAAGAAAAATTGTGATTCATAAACAATAAATTTAGTCCGTGCTTAAATTCATCGTGTTATTCAGAGTTTATGTCGATGATAAATAAAAATTTAAATTCACAAATCTGTTGACACATAATTAAGAATAGCAATGATTTATATCAGTTTACAGAGATCTACATTGATTTATTCTATTATTTTGAAGATTATTTGAACATAATCTTACTGTCACACAATATTTTGAAGTAAATTTAAGTAATAACTCAATCGATGAAGTCATTCAATTATTGTCATATTGTATTGATGTGGAACAATTCGTTGTATATTTAAATAGATCACAGAATCTAGACTAACAAACCAAAATTAGTTTTCTTTACAGTGCTTGATCTTTTTGAAAAATTTATCAGCTATAAGTCATATATTTTCAAGGACAGTGTAGGCGACTGCTAATTCTCTCGATCCGCAGACAAACTCACAACCATACCAACATCTATATTATGACTCATCAACTCACGTTTCACACCCATACATTCTATGTTCAGCTTCCATATATGAAACGATTATGAAACTATATTTTACATCTTTTTTTGAGTAGAAAAATATAATGACAATTTATTTCATCACAAATCAGATATACATCTTTCTCCGCTGGTTGTTTCTTTTAACTTATTTTGATTGACTATCTTGAAGAGTGCACAACATCACAAATGAAA